CTCTCCTGCAGCCACCCAATTGCCCCCTCTCCCCAGATGGCAGCCTGCGGCAAATGCAGCCGGGCTGATGGCCGAGTGGTGTGATGTGCCCAGTGTGGGCACTCCGGGCACTCCAAGCCAGGACTGGTTTTCAAGCGGGGCACCCCTGAGAACTGTCTGTCCAGGGTGGGGGTCGGGTCCCTTTAAGTGCAGCCCTCGGCTAGCCTGAGACAGCATCTCTACGCTCTAAGTCCTCCTCTGATGCCCTGCCAGCACTGCTTCCGGCCATCCTTAAGCCCTGTTCAGGGTCCACTTAATGTGGACATGCTAGTTCGAATTAGCAAAACGCTAATTCGAACTAGTTTTTAGTTCTAGACGTGTTAGTTCGAATTAGCTTAGTTCGAATTAACTAATTCGAACTAAGTTAGTTCGAATTAGCGCTGTAGTGTAGACATACCCATATTGACTTATTTAACATAAACATGGGAAAAGTTACATTATTCTGATTAACCAGAGTCTTCCTCCCTGTATTTCTTTCTTTTCTAAATTACTGAATGTACCCAGGAAAGATACATCTGTTTGATGATCTGGGTATATTAATAGTGAGTCTCCAAGTACCTGATTGCTGTTTGTAAAAGCAATAATTTTGGGGTGCTGTTTCAATTGCCAACAAACTTTCCCTTTTGACTTTCCCCTCCAAACTGAGAAGCCACCTGACTGGCCTCTCTAGATACTGTTGTGGATTCCCCATTCTTTGCTCTCTACACAGCCTTCCGCAATTCCCATGTGTGTGTGTACAGCCGGTGTGGTTCTTATGCCCCAGTCAAGTCTTTGGGAGCCCATGCTAGTTCTACAAATCAGGTTCAGTGGTATCTCATGGCCCAGCCTAGGACCTACACCTCTGTCATTTCTTAATGGGGCTTTCTGCAGTTATAGAAGCAAATCAGCTAATGTAGCCCTGAGGCTGCAGTGGCAGCAGGGCTGGCCCACAACATTTTGGCACTTGAGGCAGGGAGCTCAAATGACGCCCCCATGTCACCTAGCTTGGGCTAAAACTTTGAAAGGTCACAATTCTCTGGGTCATAGTGGTGCCCCTCCACAATCTGGCACCTGAGGCGGTGGCCTCAGTTCACTTTATGGTAAGGCCAGCCCTGCGTGGCAGGGTTGGAAGCTCTCCTGCAGCCCCCCAATTGACCCCTCTCCCCAGATGGCAGCCTGCGGCAAGTGCAGCCGGGCTGATGGCCGAGTGCTGTGATGTGCCCAAGGTGGGCACTCAGGGCACTTCAAGCCAGGACTGCTTTGCAAGCGGGACACCCCTGAGAACTGTCTGTCCGGGGTGGGGTTCGGGACCCTTTAAGCACAGCCCTCGGCTAGCCTGAGGCAGCATCTCCACGCTCTAAGTCCTCCTCTGATGCCCTGCCGGCACTGCTTCCGGCCATCCTTAACCCCGCTTCAGGGTCCACTCAATGTGGACGCGCTAGTTCGAATTAGCAAAACGCTAATTCGAACTAGTTTTTAGTTCTAGATGCATTAGTTCGAATTAGCTTAGTTTGAATTAACTAATTCGAACTAAGTGAGTTCGAATTAGCGCTGTAGTGTAGACGTACCCCCGTTAGTTAACAGGGATGGAGGCGAGAGGACAATGCAGCTGTGAACGTGTCGTCCGGGGGAGCTGATTAATTTATCCTTGCAGTGGGAAAGGGGAGCCACACAAGAGGTACTGACCAGGCAGCACTGGCAAGAGTTGAACACTGAATGGATTGGGTGCTGCGATTCTCGTGCCCTGTGGAACAGTCTTGCAGCAGTCTGCCAAGGATCTTCCCCATTTGACTTCAATACGAACGTAACAGTCTGCAGCTTCTCCCCCTTTCAGTAACCACTTATCTCAGCAGCACACGGGCAGCGTGGGTACAGTTACAGAATCTGTCACCATTCCAATATAAATATATCTCCTTTCTCCCAGGGGTCCTACCCCATCTGTCTTAACCTCTTTTGATCTTGCACTTGATATAGGTCTCGGCCTGGGAGTATAAATTGCTTCATCCTTCAATTTTCCCACAAAGTGAAATTAAATTTAGTTCTTGGTCCTCTAGTTCCTGAAGGGTGGCGGCGTGAGGGGCCTTTGGGCATGAGGTTATTCTTTGTGAGGTTTTCTGTCTCTCCATCTTTACAAAGGTCAAAATCTGTTCATCAATCAGACAGAGAAAGGGTTCAGATGGGATGAAAGAACAGTTACATTCCACAGACCAGAGGCCTAAATGTAGTGCTGGGACGTATGTTTAATAAAGAAAATTCAAAGTGTTTGGATACTTTGCATGTGGGTTTACATGGCATTCCCTCCCCAGTACTGGCAACTCTCACTTCATCACAAGTCACATGCCTTTGGCTGGGTCTGGTGCCATTCTCACAATGGTGCAAAATACTGCAGTCGTTGTGAGAATTTCAGCCCTACCTCAGGAGAAAAAGCTTTTCAGATTGGCTGCTTTCCTCACTTGCCCCACACACTGGAGAAGAACAGTCAACTCTGGTTGCTGTAGGGGGCAGACAGACCATTTAGCTCTCCCCTTGGGACCAAAGGAGAGGTGTTGTAGGGATGGAGGGACCAGCTGACATTCTTAAGGGCCTCTCCTCCTGCACTTTGAAAAATGAGTCAGTTTACCCTGTGTTCCACCTTTATAATCCCCACCACTGCAAGGTCAGGCCTGGAGAGGAATGCCCCATTTCCGCCATCCTCCCAGCTGGGAATTGTGTAGTGAGGTGAAGACCACAGATTTTGCCAGACTAGAGAGTCTCAGATGTGAAAGTTT